TGTATTTCATGTAAATAACTTGTAACTGTGTATTAACCTAAGTCAAACCGCTTTGTATTTCATGTAAATAACTTGTAACTGTGTATTAACCTAGGTCAAACCGCTCTATATTTCATGTAAACAACTTGTAACTGTGTATTAACCTAAGTCATACCGCTCTATATTTCATGTAAATAACTTGTAACTGTGTATTAACCTAAGTCATACCGCTCTATATTTCATGTAAACAACTTGTAACTGTGTATTATTTATAGTTAAACCTCTGTAGAAGTTATGTAACTAGCTTGTAACTGTATTAACTGCAGTCAAACTGCGGTAGACTTCATGTAAATAACCTGTAACTGTGTATTAAATCTGAAAACAGGTCTGAGAGGTCTATGGGAAATGCTGAATATGACCTGAATCATGTAGATATTATCTATTGGTAGTAAGCCGAAAGATTTAGAAATTAAAATATTTGATAAAGCAATACAACAAAGAATGGTTTCCCTAGGGTTTAAAATGAAGTTAAAGATCACGTATGCGAGCCTCTCTGGTTTCAGTTATGGTATATTAGTATACAGACGCTTAAAGATTGCACAGCTGCTAATGTTACTCCTGGATTTACCAAAGGTAAATCTTATTTGTGTAAGGAAGCACATTACGCTAGGAGACATAACGATTTGTGTAGAAAATGTTCTGCCAAAACGTATAGTACGTATTAACATTTTTCATTGTACTTACAAATAGTTGTCTTATATAAAGGGAAATATTTACTTACTAATCAGATATCTACTAATTGTATATATTAGTTATTTTAATAATTTGTTGCTAGTCTGTTATCTTCTTTCGAGCATTTTAATTGTTTCTGAATAGTGAAAATGATGTAGACTTGGTGTATTTATATTTTCAAGGTTAAGCACAAAATTAGCTAAGAAAACCAAATACCTACATTAACCATTACGTAACTAGTTGAGTAGTGTATGACTTTTCTTGGAGGTTAACGTATAACTACCTTAACCAAATCGTTACTAGCTGAGTATTTTATGACTTTTCTTGGAGGTTAACGTATAACTATCTTAACCATTTCGTTACTAGCTGAGTATTATATGACTTCTCGTGGAGGTTAACAAATAACTACATTAACCATTTTGTTACTAGCTGAGTATTATATGACTTCTCGTGGAGGTTAACAAATAACTACATTAACCATTTTGTTACTAGCTGAGTATTATATGACTTCTCGTGGAGGTTAACCATAACTATCTTAACCATTTCGTTACTAAAAGTCATATAATACTCATTCTTGGAGGTTAACAAATAACTACCTTAGTCATCTCGCTGTTAACCGTCATCTCCACAATATCTGTTGTAAAGTTTGATCTCGATCCTCTTTCGTCAAATGTAATGTTTCCAGTTAAACCGATAATTTTTGTCTGAAAAAGATAATTTAATGTAATAAACAATTTTGCAACTAGAAGTTATGTTCACATTTTAAAATCAGTTGCATTCATATAAATATCACGAGTTCAAAACGTACAAATTAGTTAAGTTCATAAATATTACAACGGTTACGTATATAAGTCAAAGTTTGTATAAGTCCCACAATCTATACGTTATTGAGTTAGTGAAATTCAACTAACTGAAACTGTTAAATATTCTTTTAGACTTTTATTACTTCTACTAGGTACGTAAACAACAGAATTCATTAACGCTACCAGAGAGTTCCGTACACAAAATATACGTAACATTAAACGTCAATAACATACATAACATTAAACGTCAATAACATGTATAACACTAAACGTCAATAACATGTGTGTATATATAGTGCTGTGCAATGTAAGGTAAATCACAGGTGAAACTTCAAAATTTTATTCATCTTCATATTTAGTGCAACAGAAATTCAGTGGAAGTGTTTGAGTTCAGGAAACAGTTAATATTATTGTTCCCTTTTTGCTTTAATAACTGCAGACAGTCTTTCAGGCATTGTTGCAACATATTTAATCAAAGTGTCCTTTGGGATTTTACTCCAAATGTCTCTGATACACTCCCATAAAGTTTCTTTGGAAGTAACTTTTGATTTGTCAAGTTTTTGATTTATCAAATCCCAGATCTGTTCAATTGGGTTGAGATCGGGGCTCTGTGGGGACCATTGAATCATTTGAATGACTCCAGCAGCTTCTTTCTTAGCTAAGTAATTTCTGAATGGGTTGGATGAGTATTTGGGGTCATTATCTTCTTGGTAGTAGAATCCTTTATCAATAATACGCAAACCACTGGGTATACCATGACGAATCAATATCTGATGGTACTTGCGCTGGTCCATTATTCCATCTATATTGCAAATATCTCCTATCGCCTCAGTAGAAAAATACCCCCAAACCATCATACTGCCTCTCTCATGTTTCATGTTAGGTGTTATGCACTGAGGTAAGTATATTTCACCTTTCTTCCGCCGGACGTAAAACCTACACTTTGAACCAAATATTTCAAACTTGGACTCGTCTGTTCATAACACCCTTTTTCAATCATCAACAGTCCAGTTTTTGTACTTTTTAGAAAATTTCAGTCTCTTGACAATATTTAGAGATCGAGGTAAAGGTTTTTTAACTGCTACACGACCAAATATTCCATTCTTGTTGAGTCTTCTTGATACTGTAGATCTGGACACTTTTCTGTCATTTGGTAATAGACTTAAAATAAGACCCAAAACTCGAGCGCTTTCGAATGGTTGACTATT